CTCTGTAACTTTGCTCCGGTTAAATTTAGCAGCATGAATCTTTGCACAGGTAATGTCCACAAGTGGATTTATGGTTTCCAAGAGTTTTTAGCCTACTTAATTATGGTTTGAAATGGGTTATATACTGTCTAATGAAAAAATTATATAGGTGAGAGTGATTTAAAAAAATATGTTCTATCCCCAGTATCTCTAAAACCACAGCAGCTGTTTTAATACTTATACTTGTGATGAAATCTTCCAAATGTTAGCTTTATTTTGATACCGATATTATTTAAGTAGAGTTTGTAAATGCTGAGATACACTCAATTACATTTCGGCATGGCGTTTTGAGACAAAACGTCAAGAAAACCCCTTGGGACTTAACAGGCTAATATATTATTTCACAAAATAAAAAGTAAGGTCAGAAGGCGCGCAAATGGTTTTAATGCCAGAGCTAATTTAATAAGCTTCACGTTTAATCCTTTCAACCCATGTATTGTGCAGAACAAAGATACTTTGTCACACATTAAAACTTTTTAGCCTTGACGCTGTGTTTTAGTCACTATTGCAACCCATCATCATCATCCCCAGAATGCATTGCATCAGTAAAAATTGCAACATGCTTAAGTGAAKCATGTAATAATGAACATGTACAATTTTTGAATAAAATAGGAGTTTTCAAGTGACTCAAACAACTTTTAGTAGAATAGAGAAATAACAACATATCAAGTAGTTGGAGATCCCTTTAAAGTCCTCAGGAGGTGTATTGCATAAATTTCTGTATAAATCTGTATAATTAGACCTTTCAGTGACAAAAAGTATTCAGAAATTGCAGATGTCAGGAGAGGATTTTTTTCTACAAATGTTTGGCAGGTGCACTCTTGCWTTTCAGCTGTTGCTCTAATGATAAACAGTAAGTGGGCCTTCATATTGGGCACCTGTCCCTTTTCCTTCACCCAAAATACAACAGTGTCTTCTTCTGTAACACAACCAAATTCCTCACATTTTTGGAACTGTTCAGTTGTTCAAAATTTTCCATACACTTTCTGGAAAGGAATGCAAATTTCTGAACCACCCTTTGTCATCAATGATGGCCCCATTAGAGAAGAGTTACCTCAACAAGCATTAAGAGCCTTGTTTTAGATAAATTCTGGGAAAGGGTCCAAATACCACCAGGCCTACTAAGGTTATTGATTAAACAAACAGTTCTTTGTAATTCCTGGTGTTCAGGATGAAGGGAGTGGTAGATTTAAGAAAACTCCAGGGGATCATCTTATCTGGGAGGGTCCAACKCAATCACCAGTGTTTGTACTGTTTTTCTTTCATAGTTGATACTTTCCTTTAGGTTACTCCTGCCTTCCTGACTGATCAAACACTCCTTTGGGGATATGTAYCATAAGCCTCTTAGGCTTTTCCTCAATACCATGAGCTTGGTTTGAATGCACTGCTGCCAATGCAGCTCCTACAAGCTTGAAAATTGGAATGACATCCTCAAACCTGCGTCCACTGATGGCCCAGCATTAAGGTGCCTGGTGTCCACCCCCACCCCCCTTAACTGCACAATGTTTCTACATGTAGGTTAAATGTGACTTTAAATGGTTCCTCAGATTGGAGCTGTTTGGCTTCAGTGGGTCTCAGATTGATAGCATCTTTCTTTGAAGAGATTAGCCAGAGGTGCTGGGTGGGGCTATACGCCGGGGGTGGTGGGCCGGTATGTGTGTGTGAACTGATTAACCTGAGGTGTGTGCTTTTAGGGTTTGGGTATCAAGAGTCATGGGGTGGCTTTTTGTGGTGGTGGTGGGGGCAGGATAAAGAGTGTTGGGGAACCAGAGGTGGAGGAAAGAAGAAAAATGAATCAAAAGAGACCTAAGTTCAGATTTTCCATAAAAGAGGTTGTATTCCCTGGAAAACTTATCTTTAAAATGGCTTAATTTGAAAGCAGTTACCTGAGTTGAAATGTTCTGTTATGTAAACTACAGCATTGCTCAGTTTGCTACTAGAGTGATTAAAGTTGCCTTTTAGGCCTGGTCCAAAGGGAACAGTCTTTCCCAAACAGWCTTTTATTTTATTATTTTTAAAAGTTTGCTAGTCAACATGGCACTATTTCTYGAAATGGTGATGGTTAAATAGTTAAACTGATGTTGACGCAGGACACTAAAACACACCAAAAACAGAAGTATTTTTTCTGGTCTTACCCAAAGTTCTTTTCCTGGTTATTATAACCTTTATTTCTACAGGTAAGTCAGTTCCCATTTACAATTATGACCTGGTCAAGAGGCAGCAACAGAACACAAGTGGTCTAGTGGTACTCTACACAATAAAAACAAGGGAAAAATAAAATAAAAATAAAAGCAAGTACAATAACCATGTATTATTGAATTAACAGAACTTTTAAAAGAGGAGAGTGAAATGAATGTGTCAAGCTTTAATYCAGCTGGTTCCAGTCACCTGCAGCATAGAACTGAAATGAGGAGCGGCCAAAGGAGGTACGTATTTTTGGAATGAGGCGGTTGATGAGGTCACTAGAACGCAGACCGGGATTTGGTTTCTGAATAGTCAGAAGTGAGTTGTTAATTTGGAGTTTTTCCAGTGAGGGTTTTGTAGATAAACAAAAAACAGTGAATTTGTCTGCAAGAATGAAGAAAGGACATTAATGTTGGTTTCAAATGCGAGTTTGTTGTCAAGCCAWATACCAAGGTATTATAGCTTTTGGCAAAATTAATCTCAGTCTGAGAGCAAGGAAGACATTTTAAAGGAGCTCACGATTTGTGGTAGGTTTGGTTTAAAAACCAAACATTTATTTTTGTTAGAACCAAATGCAGACTAGTGATAGCCTGTTGGATCGCGGTGAATCTAGCCTGCAGTGTAGACAGAGCAGTAGTCAGGGAGGGACTGGAAGTGTAGATGATGGTATTATCAGCATACTGTATGAACACGAGAATCACCTACTGCAAGGGGAATGTTATTGATACAAACATTAAAAAGAATATTCCTAGAATTCTTCCTTGTGGGACACCAGGGGATCAGACAGAAGACCCCCCCCCACCCCACCTGCTACCTTCACTGACTAGACGGTCAGAACAAAAATTCACAAACCAAGCTAAACAGCAT